AAAAAACGACCGAAAGATTTGCACGGTCGTAAGCAAGCAAGCAAGCACGCCAGCACGTAAGCAAGCGAACTTAATATAAAGGATTTAATAAGCTCAGATTTGAAGCCTTCGTGACTGCAAGGATTCATACTGTTAGGTTTTTTCGGTAAAGTAATGGACATTATTTTATTATTATTTTATTTTATTTCCATTATTACTTTAATTAACTTTAAATTTTATTCTTTTACCTACGTGTTACCAAAAAAACCTAACGGTATAAAACAAGCTCAGTTCATACGTGCGCCGAGTACGCCCCAGGGTGGATTCATTCGGATGGCAACTTAATCCTAAGCAGGCACGGGCAGCAGAGATGTGCAAAGTCTACCTTTATATAGCCGCCCCACGGCCCCCCCCCCCCGGCCCCCCCGGCCCCCCCGGCCCCCCCCCGGCCCCCCCCCCCCCGGCCCCCCCGGCCCACGGATTCCGGGAACAATCTAAGTTTAGCCAATCCCACTCGACGAATGATGACGAGCCCCCTCCGAAACCCAGCATCTGTGTTTATAATTGGCTTTCACCACGTCAATGTCAGTGGGAGGAATCCACCTAATCCTCTTTAATCCTTCGGATTTAGTGCATTTATTATGCAGGACCATAGCATTGTGAGAATTTGTATGAAGAATTATTTTGGATTATGACTATAACAAAAGCAATAATAGAAATGCCTTTTTTGAAATCAGCGATGAGCCTCAAAACACATATTCAGGAAGAGCCTGCACATTGCACGTGTTTAGCTTGTGAGAAGAAACGGGAGCAACCAGAGAAAACCCACGGATATGAGGGGATAACGCTTCGAGCTCCACACTGATATATTCCAATACTGTACTGTACTGTCATCTCCGAGCCACCCCACTGGGCCACGCCTCCGATAAGCACGGTTGGCTACGTACGGTGCGAAAGAAGTTCAACAGACGTACATACAACACTTGGTATTCCCAGGCGGTCAACCATTCAAGCACGAACCGGGCTCGACCCGTCTCAGCTTTGACAAGGTTGGCGCATTCTGGATGATTTCTGTTTTCGGTTCGAATTTTAAAAAAATCACAACCGGATCCATTCGACAGCTTCCGTCGTTTGGACCTCGGCATTGAGGATTCAGACTCGGGCCCCTCGAAATCCCCCCCACCGAGAGAGGCCATTAGGGTCGCTCAACGACAGCTGCCGCCGCCGCCGCCGCCACCACACTTCAACGCTGGATCCGCGCGGATCAGCGACGTCCACGGCAGCGCCGCTGCGATTGGCGGCGTAAACCCTCGCCCACGGGCATAGAAAGCTGTCGCCAGCCGGCCCGTTCGCCCCACTCGCCCACCTGCCTGCCCGCCCACTATCCCAGCCAGACACCTGGCTGACCTTGCCCCCCCGCCACCCCCACCCCCCCCCCCCAAGCTCCAACCCGTGTGGGTGCAAGGAAGATGCATTCACGATCGCTGGCAGGATCTCAATGCGGCTCACTAGCCCGGGCTCATCGATGCCAATTCAAGGGAACCTGACCCACTTTGTTAAGGCGCTCCTTCCAGCGGAGCGGGTTATACATGCAGAGACATCCCGGGCACAGGAACGCGTCAGATCACGCGGCACTGCCGTGCGGCTACGCCCTGGGCAGCAGCGTACTTCCATGGTCCCACGACCAAGCTCGCGTTTCACATTCGCCAACCCGCGTTGACCAGTGTCAAGTACGTTCAAAGAAACCATCCCATGACACGCACGGGCATGGGGAAGCCGTCATCCAGCAGTGGATTGACAAAAGGGCGGTATGATAATTGGTTTTTTACCCTTCTATCTGGCAACAAAACTGACACCTTTTTTTTTTACGAGGGGTCATGTTTGCATAGACCACAATACCTGCAGCCATAATGCAAACAAAAAAACATAAATCTGATAATGTGCACTGTCCTTGAAGTTGATTGGTCCACACCCGAGACAGCTTTCCTTAGAGCCTAGTCTCACATGCTGTTGGACCAACAACATAGAAGTGTAAAAAAACAATTATCATATTTTTTCTGGCAAATGAGGTTCCAATGGTGTAAAAGGGTGGTAATTTTATTTTATTTTACCAGATAAGGCCCACTCAGCTATATAGCTTTTTTTTAGAAGTGATCTGGCCACAAATGATAGCTCGTCTAAGTGGCTTATCACGTGAAAGTTTTTAGCAGCCAAATACTCGAAATGCACGTTTATACATGTGGAGAGAAAAAACGGAGGACGCGGAGAAAAATCCACGCAACCACGGGGGAGAACATGCAAACTCAAAATATATAGCAGGCGTCAGGGTCGGGATCGAACCCACGACCTCCTGCATACCAGGCGAAGGAGTTAACATCTCGCCACCGCAGGTATAATTACGCTTGAAGTGACAAGGTGAGCGCGGAGCCGTGGTGAGGCTCAGGGAGATGTTTCCGTCCGATTTACGAGCGAGCACCGGCAGAACCGGTGCCTTTGGAAGGAGCTCACGGTCACATGGCTCCAGTTGGGCGCGCTTACAACGCGAGATGAATTATTCATCCTGTTTAAGCACTAACTCGAAGATTTCCTCTGCCGAGTATCTCGCTGGATTCTGGGGGGGGGGGAAGGGGGGGAGCCCCTCTCCCCCCCCACCCCGTTCGTGTGCAAACATTACTTGTGAATATTTCCGTGGCTCGGTGGCGTATGTGGAAAGTGGTTCGTGCACACTGCTATGAACCTGATGGCCTGAGTGCGATTCCCGCTCGCCCCTTGGCTGACATTGGTGACATTCAGTGTCAGCCAAGGGGCGAGTGGGAATAGAGTGACAAGGCGTTTTTCCGTTGCAGCACCGACGCTTTGGAAACAACCTTGATTCCAACGTTTAACATCGTAAATCTGCCTTCAAAAAATGCCACGAAGCAGAAGATTGGTGGTGGATACGGCTGCACTTGCAAATGTGATTTGTAACTTTCATCCTTACCCATTTTTCACTAATTCAATTATAATGTGCAATTTTTTTTATGGACTGTGTGTTGTCTTGGTGTGGTCTGGGACTGTTTTTGCTGTTGTTTCACCACATTGCCCAAGCTTTGGAATCGGTTTACTTATGCAATTTGAACTTACAAACGTATCTATATTCAGTATACATTTCTACTCATTAGCTTTTACCTTTCCTATACTTTTGCACTCTTATCGTGTGTTTGTGTATTGTTTGTTGTTGTAACTTCCTGACCCGCTCCTACTGGACATCTGTGAAAAGAAGAGCTTCATAGCTCATCGGATTTCTCGAGGATAAATAAAGATTCTGATTCTGATCTGATCCGGAGTGTCGAGTTATATCTGTTGTCCAGAGTGGTGAAGTATGGCCCAACAACGGCGTAGGGTGGCCTCCATCTAAACAGTGGATTGACTAAGGTCTGTAAAATATGTTTTACTATTTTGAAGAATCTTTAGACCAGATCAAAAAATAGCATTGTTCCCCAGAACAATTTCCCCCAATTTTATCCCGATCTCCAGAGCAGCACGCAACCCTTCGTGTCACACAAGGCGCCCGCGGAAGTGGACACCACAGAACTCCCTCTGAGCGTACTTCAAGTGACCTCTGGTCCGGCCCAACAACCGTCGTCTTCGTCACACAAAGACACGGGTCGCTTGAATGCCAGCCGGCGGCAACGGATAACGTCTTGAGCCTAAACGCCCGCGAGCGAACCCCACGACACCGCTGCAAACGATGTTCCCCAATCTGACGTGTCCTCCTCGCATTCATAGTCTGTGAGACACGGCCCGCAGGAGCGGTTACCCTGCCTCTCGCCGGCAGCTACTCGAAGTGCACTACACGCAACGCCGCCCTTGACAAAGGGCACTCGGATTATATCCCTGGCAGGGCGCCAACGCAGGGGTTGGCACCTATGAGCTACAAAAAAGAAATCCAGGACATTGTTATTATCATTACTATTATTACGTTTGTTTGACCGGGAAAGCCTCATCGAGTCCCACGGCTCTCGCCGATGCGAAAAATAATATATCACGATACCGGAAGAGGGAAGAGCGGCATGTAAACTCGTTGTCCCGAGTGGGGTACTCAATTTGGGAACATTGTTCAAAAGAAATCATCTCAAGACAGCTGCATCAACAAGAGGATGATACTGCTCACCCATAGGGGCAGTGGGGGCGGCCTGGCCTGCACTCGAACGATTACACCCAGGGTGGGGAACCGTCTTCTTGCCGGGAGCCGAATAGAATTCACAAACATCTCAGGCAGAGGGCTACAAGTTAATAGACAGGCCGATCCTATAATAATGCAAACAATTATGACGGCTCATCTTTAGAGGTGAATGAGTGCGCTAAAATTGCCAACGCAGCGTTGTTGCCAGTTGCAATATAATTCCCCCTCTAGTAACCGATTAGTGCAGCTGAAATGCTTGCAGTGATGGGTAAATATAATTTGATGCCCATTTCAAAGTGGCGGGCCTCATGTGGACGCGGGCCGTGTGAAATAAAGTCGTGGGCCAAAAGTCAAAGGTTCTCCATCCCTGGATTAACCGAGGGCCTGCAGTCACGTCCTGGCAGCATAGCACAGTGATCAACAGCTGGCCCACAAAGATCTCTCCCCTCACCCAACGCTGCTTGCCGAATGGTTGCCTCGCCAATAAATTGGGATGCAGGGGTGAATTGTAAAATTGTCCAGTCATTACCATGAATACAATGTGAATTTATATCCTGTCTCAGCGCGACGTGTCACTAGACATGAAACAAAGACTGTGTGCATATTTAATTTACAGAGACAAGAAGGCAGTCAGTCGTAGGCGGAGGAAAAAGGAAGACCTTGAGCCTGAACTTGAACAGGGGAGAAGCAGGGATTTCCAGACTATGGAAGCAGAGACAAAATAAACGTGGACCAAAGCTAAGCAACAGTTGCGGCACAACCAGCGCAGGGGAAAGGAAAGAGCGTGGTTGGGGAGTTAGCGAGGCGACAAGATGGCTGAGGAAGAGGAAGCAAGCGCAGGTGAGCGGCGACGCACCTTGGAGATGAGCTCGTCGTGGTTGGCCAGGTGCGCGCGGCAGTGCACGCAGCTGTACTTGCGGTGGCAGTTGGGCAGGTACGCCTGGAAGGTCTTGGACTTTGTGAGCTTCACCATGCTGAGGGAGGGCGCCGCCTGCTGCTGCGCCTGCTGCTGCCGCCGCCCCTCGTCGCTGTCGCCGAGGGCCCCGTTTGCCGCCGGCGGGTGCGGCCGCGGGGACTCGCTCGCCGTGAAGCGGCGCAGGCACGGGCACGCCGCCGGGCAGGGCCACGCGGGCAGGGGCCAGCAGCCGCCAGCGGCGCCACCGCCGCCCTGGCCGCCGGGGCCACCGCCGCCCTGGCCGCCGCCTCCCTGGCCGCCCTGGCCGCCGGGGGGACAGCAGCGGCAGCGGCCGGGCAGGGGGAGGCAGCAGCAGCAGCAGAAGAAGCACGAGGAGGCGGCGGCGGCGGCGGCGACGGCGGCGGAGGAGGAAGGGGCGCAAGCGTCGCGGCCGCCGCAGCAGCAAAACGGGAAGGCGTCGTTGTGCCCCGGCTGCTGCTGCTGCTGTTGGGGCGGAGGAGGCGGCGGCGGCGGCGGCGGTGGGCACGGGAAGGCCGGGCAGGGCAGGCACTGCAGCAGGGAGGCCCACGCCGTCTTTACGCCGGGGCGGGGCGGCCTCGGCGAGCCCCTCGCGCCGGCCCCCACAAAGCGGTGTCTGCACGCGGTGGGCGCAGCGGCGCGAGGGTTAAACGAGGCGCGACACGCACGGGCACCGGGGCTTCATTCCCGAGGAGCGAGCGGGCGGGCAGCGCAAGGTCACACGCAGCGACGGAGGAGGCACCTCCTGGGAGATGCGGAGTGCCAAATGATTTATGATGAATGCGGTGACACAGAAGCCACGTGATGAAGGTGGCATGGCTGCTCCAGGGTTAAGGGGCGACGGAGGCCACAAGGGTTTCCCGTCGCTTGCAAGGGCTTTGTGAAGTCCGAGGTCCGACGTAGCAAGAGGCGGCACCGTCACACCGGAGGAGGAGTGGGGAGGGGGATGAGGGGGGGAGAAGCCAGGTAATAGATGTAACCGGGTGGATCAGCGGGCAGAGCACTGAGTCAGTGTCCTCGAGATCCTGGGGGAGAATCTGGGGTCATGTAACCAGTGATTAGACCGACTTCTCGGGTGTAGCGAGTTAATGATAGCAGCCAGTCACCAATGGCTCACACGGAGAGAAACAATCTCACAGAGGCACGGAGCTGCTGCACGTAAACTGGGTTATTGGGTTGTGAGTAAACCAGACTCTCTCAAGCGGAGGGCGTGGATGGTTTCAGCCAAGTCACGCAGGCTGCACAAACAAACCATAATAATAATACAGTGATCCCTCGTTTATCACGGTTAATGGGGACCGGAACCCCTCGCGATAGGTGAAAATCCGCGAAGTAGGATTGGCCCCCTAGGAATTTCCGTATATGTGTGTGTGGGTATCAGAATGTTTAAAATATGTATATTTATACTTTATATATATATATTTTTTTACTTAAATCTATTTAATTATAAAACCGTAATGTTATACATTCACTCTCTCTCTCTCATACGATACGTATTATGGTATTCTACACTCACCAATGACAGTAGTATCTTGAGACTTGACTCCAGTAATGACGACGACGACGATGACAATGACGATGACAATGACGACGATGACAGACCTGTGCAGTTCGATGAATGTGATGATAAATGATGATGATGATGGTGGTGTTACTGCACAGGTATAATGAGGCCTTTAAATCAGTTCGAAAAATCCGCGATGCACTGAGGCCGCGAAACTTGAACCGCGAAGTGGCGAGGGATTACTGTATATTTGGATTTCCACCAAATCTATCCCAGCTTTGAGACTTAAAACAATCAGTTTGATTGACAACCACCAAACTCTCCTTGGAAGCCACGTAAAAAGTGAGCCCCGAGTGGAGATGACAAAGGGCTATTTTGAAGTTTCACTTCAGAAGTTGTTCTGTTACATCGTCCGAATGGGAACACGAAGGTAAACGTGTGATAACGTGCACCGTCAAGGCGAGCTGCATGGCGTAGAAATAAAGTGGATTTCTTTTTTTGTTGTCGCCGGGAAGAAATATGTTGTGACACTCCAGTCGAAAGAAACGCGATCATTGCATAATTACATCAGAATAGGCCAGACCACTCCATGGGGCCCATCAGCCCAGGAGAGGATAGCAGTAACATTGTAGAGATCTCTAACACGATATAACACGGTGAACTGATGGTTATTTAAATGACGAAAATGCAAGGCTCTGTCACACTACGTACTAATATTATCAAAGTGTTATTTTGGTCCATCAGCCTATCGGCCTACTGCGCCCGTGTCGCCCGGCAGCAACTGTTTGCCACGTGGGCTGCTGCCACGCTCGCCATTGTGGGTCACGCGGCGGATAAACCCCTCGTGTCATCGCTTCTCTTCTTCCTGCCCCGCCGGAGACCAAAGGCCGATGTCCAGCGCAACGACGCAACGGGCAAGGTCACCCCGTTAGGTTGCACGCAACACGCACGGAGCGCTGAAACGTTGATCTTGCGCCAGTGATTCTAAGCGTGCATCGTGAGTTTAAGAATCAATGCTAAATCGGCCGCATCGTTGGGACCCATGCCACCGATACGACGGGATTCGCCATCACCATCGTCGGCCGTGCTCTGTCCATGGTGCCTGCGGGTCGGGACTAACGACCGAGTTGGCAGCCAAAGGAGGGAATCCGACCGATAGGGGTGACGTCCGCCACGGAGATGGAACGACGAAATCAGCTCATTACCAACGGAAGCTATCAAATGAATAAAAGTTATGACTGTGAAATCGCACGTCTGCACTCGCAGGGGAGTAGTGATGAGAGGGGAGAGGTAGGTGTGTGGAGGGGAGTGGAGTGAGATGAGAGGGGAGAGGTAGGTGAGTGTGTGGAGGGGAGTACGAGATGAGAGGGGAGAGGTAGGTGAGTGTGTGGAGGGGAGTAGAGTGAAATGAGAGGGGAGAGGTAGGTGAGAGTGTGGAGAGGAGGGGAGTGAGATGAGAGGGGAGAGGTAAGGGAGAGTGTGGAGGGGAGTGAGATGAGAGGGGAGATGTAGGTGAGTGTGTGGAGGGCAGTGGCGTGAGATGAGAGGGGAGAGGTAGGTGAGTGTGTGGAGGGAAGTGGAGTGAGATGAGAGGGGAGAGGTAGGTGAGTGTGTGGAGGGGAGTAGAATGAGATGAGAGGGGAGAGGTAGGTGAGTGCGTGGAGGGGGGTGGAGTGAGATGAGAGGGGAGAGGTAGGTGAGCGTGTGGAGGGGAGTGGAGTGAGATGAGAGGGGAGAGGTAGGTGAGTGCGTGGAGAGGAGTGGAGTGAGATGTGGAGGGGAGAGGTAGGTGAGAGTGTGGAGGGGAGTGGAGTGAGATGAGAGGGGAGAGGTAGGTGACTGTGTGGAGGGGAGTGGAGTGAGATGAGAGGGGAGAGGTAGGTGAGTGTGTGTGGAGGGGAGTAGAGTGAGATGAGAGGGGAGAGGTGGGAGAGTGCGTGGAGGGGAGTGGAGTGAGATGAGTGGGGAGAGGTGGGAGAGTGCGTAGAGGGGAGTAGAGTGAGATGAGAGGTGAGAGGTGGGAGAGTGCGTGGAGGGGAGTGGAGTGAGATGAGTGGGGAGAGGCAGGAGAGTGAATGGAGGGGAGTAGAGTGAGATGAGAGGGGAGAGGTAGGAGAGTGTGTGGAGGGGAGTAGAGTGAGATGAGAGGGGAGAAGTAGGTGTGTGGAGGGGAGTAGAGTGAGATGAGAGGGGAGAGGTAGGTGAGTGTGTGGAGGGGAGTAGAGTGAGATGAGAGGGGAGAGGTAGGTGAGTGAGTGGAGGGGAGTAGAGTGAAATGAGAGGGGAGAGGTAGGTGAGTGTGTGGAGGGGAGTAGAGTGAGATGAGAGGGGAAAGGTAGGTGAGTGTGTGGAGGGGAGTGGAGTGAGATGAGAGGGGAGAGGTAGGTGAGTGTGTGGAGGGGAGTAGAGTGAAATGAGAGGGGAGAGGTAGGTGAGAGTGTGGAGAGGAGGGGAGTGAGATGAGAGGGGAGAGGTAAGTGAGAGTGTGGAGGGGAGTGAGATGAGAGGGGAGATGTAGGTGAGTGTGTGGAGGGCAGTGGCGTGAGATGAGAGGGGAGAGGTAGGTGAGTGTGTGGAGGGAAGTGGAGTGAGATGAGAGGGGAGAGGTAGGTGAGTGTGTGGAGGGGAGTAGAATGAGATGAGAGGGGAGAGGTAGGTGAGTGCGTGGAGGGGAGTGGAGTGAGATGAGAGGGGAGAGGTAGGTGAGAGTGTGGAGGGGAGTGGAGTGAGATGAGAGGGGAGAGGCAGGAGAGTGCGTGGAGGGGAGTGGAGTGAGATGAGAGGGGAGAGGTAGGTGAGTGTGTGGAGGGGAGTGGAGTGAGATGAGAGGGGAGAGGTAGGTGAGTGTGTGGAGGGGAGTAGAGTAGAGTGAAATGAGAGGGGAGAGGTAGGAGAGTGCGTGGAGTAGAGTGGAGTGAGATGAGAGGAGAGAGGCCGGCATTTCACGACGCTCCTCGCGGCCACACGGCACACGCCACGTGGCAGGCGGCACGGGAATCAAGAAGCCGGTCGATACGCGGCGCTAATTCCGCTAATTGATTCCACGACTGCAGCTCCCCGTGCACTCCGCGAGCACACCCAGGCAGGGTCACGCGTGCACATACGTGTGTGCGTGCGTGCGTGCGCGCGCGTGTGTGTGTGTGCGTGCGTGTGTGTGTGTGCGTGTGTGTGTGTGCATGTGTGCGCGTGTCGACTGGTCACCCCGGTCAGTTACTGCCGATCAATCAAGCCTCTCAACTCGTCCCCTACAGCACCCGGATTAATCCCAGTGACCTGTCGCCGCCACTCCACTCGGACTCAAAGTGCACCCAGCCCCGGACGATCGCCAGGGGAATGTCATCGTCGCCAGCGAGAGGCGGGCGTGTGTGTGCGTGCATGTGTCAAGAACATGCGTGCGTGGGAGTATACGCGTGTGTGCGCGCGTGTGAGAGTTCACACGCTGCACTAAGAAGCCCCGCAGGGGTGGTGGTTGCGGTGGTGGCACTGATGACACACGTGGGGAGCAGTGGCGCAGCGGTCAGCGCACTGCACTACCAACCCGGCAAACTGAGTTCGATTCCAGCCACGGCTAGCATTGGTGGTGATATCTACACTGGTACTAGGCCTCCCCGAGGTCGA